ATAACTTTTTTTCAGAAAACATATTCATTCAATCTTGGAGTGCTTTAATAAATATTATAAATTCTTTTTTATTTTCAAATGATTTTAACAAAAATAAGTCCAGCATTATCAAAATTATTATTTTAGAATGTATTTTTAAACATGTTGCTAAATATATGTTTACGTAAAACTATGATTATAAATGAAAATTTAAGTATTTTATCTAGAATCAATGTTAAATTTTTTTTGTTCATCCGAAATAATTTTAAACTTCATTACAAAATCTAAATTTCTAAATATATACACATCCCAAAACAAAAAATCTGAAAGAAGAAAAAAGAAACTGATGACTGAAAGATATTTTCTTAAGCATATGAAGAATCTCCACTGAACAAAACTTTTTTTTCGGTTACACATGAATGAACAAATGAACCTGTACAAGATATATAAATCTCACAAGCTGCAAATAACATCAACAATGGGGTTTATTTTTAGCAAAAAAAGAAAAAGAAAAAGAATCTGACCTTTTTGCTAACTTAAACAAAACAAATATGAATCATGGAGACATGAGCTTCTCCTTCTCTCTACATGAAGTTTGATTTTCATAAAGCCACAGCTCTGCCGTATGAACTCTCAAAACTCTTCAGCTCAAAACACGGTTCAGGAACCACTGATTCTGAAGAACCCTCTACATACAAGCATCTCCAAGAATCATCATCATCAGGAGATTCCGAGTTCATTGACAGAGAGATATTCGATAGCAAAACCGAAGTGAAAGGAGACTCTTTAGTTCCAAAAAACTCTCCAGCTACGCTTATGTTCTCTCCAACAATGTCATGTAACCTGATGTGACTCACTAGCGGGTAAGCATTTTCATCAAAACCCGAATCCGGGTGAGTTCCAAAGCTACCATTTGCTAAGAAAGCAGTACCAACATTGACCATGTTGATGTTTGAAACATCAATCTCTTTCATGTAACCACCTCTTCCTTTAGTTGTCCTAAACGCAACCCCCGATAACGAGTTGTGTATGTGGACATCACGGACCACGACATCAGATATGCCACCAGACATTTCACTGCCAAAGGAAATAGAGGCACCAGAAGCTGCTTGGAGGTAAACGTTTCGTATCTCTACATTTGCAGTAGGCCTTGCGTAAGATATACCGTATTCGTCCCAACCACTTTTTAAGGAAATGGCATCATAGCCCATGTTGATGCTAGAATCTTGAATGCACACATTATAAGAAGAATCTGAAAAGAACAAAAACAAAAAAAAAACAGAAAACCAGATTTAAAGTTCTAATTCTTCATCATATTGTTTCAAGTTCAAGAAATGGTAGGCGGTTTATAGAGGATTATTGATTATACGGTGCCTATACCGATTTTTTGAACACCTATATCAAACTTTTAAAAATCATTTAAGAAAAATCTTTTGGTTTAGGTCCGATTTTTACAGCTTAGACCGATTTTTAGAACACTGCATTATAGTATAAGCTACAAAGCAAACAAGTAAAGCTATATCATTTTCATTAGGCAGAGAACATAAGAACTAACCTGGGACAATGCCAATGGTATCAGGAGATTCAGGAGAAGTATTAGCCGTTACTTTATGAATGTTTACATGGCTGCACAATAGTAGTGACCAGAGTCAAGATTCTACTAAAGGAGCTATAATGATAAAGAAAGGGAGTTTCAGACACTATCTTTACCTACAATAAACCGAGTGGATAGTATAAGCTGGAGCATTTAAGAAGGTAAGGTTTGAGACAATGACATTTTCTGAAGAGACAAACTCGACGAGATGTGGTCTACTGTTCTTCAAAGAATGAGAGTTAAACCGATCCCACCAAACCAGGCCTTGTCCATCAATAGTACCGTTATCACCTATAAAAACGAGGAGCATGAAAATGTAACGGTGAGTTTTTGTTTAGCATTAACAAACAAACAAACAAAATGAAGTGGGTCAAAATCATGTGTAACCTGTTACTACTACATCATGCAGCATATAGCCGTTTATCAAACTCATGTATCTCCTCCCAGGTAAATCAATGCCTCTTCCATATGATGGTAATGGATCCACAACTTCCCAATGCAATGGATCCTTTAAACAGAGATAAGAAGGAACAGAGAGACAAAATGAGAAAAACAATTTCACAAATGTTCTGATCGGTCACAATCAATGTTCAAGAAATCGCTAGGCAGTAGTTAGGCGTTTTATATGGGATTAATTATTAGGCGGGCGTTTAGACCAATTTTTTTAGCCGTTTGACCAACATTTAAAAGAATTGTTCTAGAAAGATTGTTTGATTCAAACCATTAAGTAAAAAAACATCTGCATCTAATCAGTAACCTCTATGAAACAGTGAAGCCAAACAAACTCTGATCTTACTCTTTAGAATGATCAAAGCATTAGACTAAGGGAAGATGAGGAGGAGGCAAACCTGGGAGGCGAGGATTACAGCGTCTTTCTCAAGAAAGAGAGTGAGATGACTGGTGAGATTGAAACTTCCGGTGAGCCACCGTCCGGGAGGAACATAAAGCTGAGCACCACCTTTGTCAGCAAAAGACTTGAGATAAAAGACAGCATTCTGAAACGCAAGCGTGTTCAACGTCTTCCCATCTCCAACAGCACCAAACTCCAGAATTGAGACACTGTGTGGTCTCGTGTTTGGTCTCCGACCAAGATCGCATACGTTTCCGGCGCCGTAACTCCGAATCAAACAGCTCAATGCCAGCAGCAAAACTAATGCCACCTGCCAAAAACATATAAAAGAGATCAAAATCAGCATGATCTGATCCCCAAGTTCAGATCCAAGAAAGTAAAGATTTTTGCAACGGATCCAAAGAAATGAAAAGAGACCCAGAAAACAAGGAAGCAAAACGATTGATGGGTTTGAGTTAAAAAATAAGTTTCAAATCTTTCGAAAACCGAACAATCTCGGACAAGAGAGGGAAGAAGAAGAAGACGGACAAGAGAGTTAAGAACTAAAAACATAAATAAGAACACGTACTTACTGGCATCTTTATTTGTAACGAAAGCTGTCTGACAACGGAACTGAGAGGAAAAGCTGTCTGAAAAGAGAAGAAACTTTTTAGCGCCAAATGCAACCAGGTAGTGAGAAAGAAGCTGGAGAGAGCCAAGAAGAAGAAGAAGGAGAAGAGTTCTTGACCACAGAGACGAGAAGTTTTTTCTTTTTGTTTTTGATTGAAAAAAAGAGTTTAAATGATAGTGGACACAGATGAGTTATTATATTTTTTCTTATATAATAAAATAATATTATACAAAGAATAAAATAAGCAAATAAGGTAGGAAAAGATTTAACGCCAAAATGACAGCCAATTTATGCGAATATACATTATTGGTGATATGAGGAAAAAATGGAGAAGAATAGAAACATGGCAGGTGGAGAAAAAACAAAATAAAATAATACTACTATAAAAAAGAATGAGTAATTTTTAATTAATGCTATTAATTTTATCATTAATTTTCACTAATTGCAGTTAATACATGTTAGTGTACTAGCAGGTTAAAGACTAATCGTAACGTATTATCAGACACCGACAGGTCTTCTTATCACACCGGGGAGGTGATAGGGAGAAAACAACATTTTGTTCTTCTCTTCTTAAAAAAAGAGACAAAAATGGTTGTCTGAAACTGATATTTGGTGTTTTTATTTGGTGAGTGCATGTGTTTGGTTCCTTTTTGTTGTAATTATTTCTTCCTTTTTTTATAAAATTGTTTGATCTTATAAGTATTTTGGTTTTATTATGTCTTTTTCATTGTTTAGTCACGGTCAGTGGTATGTACTGTTATTGTTTAGATGTCTAGCTCGTCGGTCCACTTTGATAATACTCGCTTATCATTTCTATTTGGTTATCAAAATTTAACGTGGTAAAAAACTTATTGATGGTATAGTTTATTGGTACTTTGCAGGCTTGCAGCAAACTACTTGTAACGCACAAATTGGTTAAGCTCTTTCTTTTGTCAGAAACAATTAAGTGCCTCATTTCTAAAACAAAAAATAATGAACATGTGACCGGATTTGGATGACTAGATTCTAGGAGACTTTCATGTATATGACTTTTATTTTCGTCAAAAGAATCAAATTTTGAAATTTTAAAACATTATACTGGAAATAAATAAAAGAAAGAGAACTAAAACTGTGTAAAGTTATGTAGAAGGAGATGCACTAAATGGAGAAGGGAATAATAACAAGAAAGGAAAGAGTGGTGTGGGTGGGGAAGAAGCATTGGGAGAGAGAGAGACTCAAAAGCCATGCATGTGGCTGAATGGTACCATGTGGCCCTACTTCTATCACTCTTCTAATTTGCCAACCTGTCATTTTGTGTGTGTTTCCTCTCATGATTTCATTTCAATCAAAGTTATTCATTCATATGATAGTTCAGTTTTGTTTTTATGTTCTTTTTTTTTTTTAACGTCAGATGGTTCATTTTTGTTTCCTGATAGCTATCTTACTGAGAACATGATGTTATACATGTGACAGAGATGAATAATTGTATGTATAATAACTCAAGTACATCCCAGATTCTATTACAGAACCAGAATCTAACCGGTTTTCTTGTATCATACTTCCTACTAGTACCTTTATCTTCTTTATACATGAAACAAATACAAGAGTAAGAGAGAGGCGTGTGTAAATCCTTTTAGCATGAAGGTTCCGAGATACTCTAAGATAATCAGAGTCTCTCTTCCGCTGATCACAAACCATCCAAATAAGCACAAATTCAGAAGAGTGCTAGGCTGAGCTAGAGAGGTGGATTCCTCGTAGGTGGGTAAGCATGTTATAACTGATAACAATAAAAAGAAACGTTCTTGTTAGTGATAAACGAGATTGGTCACAAGACCACCAATACTCATTTTATGTGTCCTTAATGCACAAACACCTAATCGGTTTAGCTTTATTTCTCTATTTGAAGAAGGAAAGAAAGATATGTCGTCTCCAACAAAATTACTAACAATCGTTTCTCAAACAGAGATTCAGAAGAGGGGGGCTCGGGTTTAGAGAGTAGTGGACTCAACCAGAGCTTCTGTAATCTTCTTCTCGAGTTCCTTTGGTTCGATCCACAATGAACTTTGCTCATGTAATAGCTTCTTTTTATCTTTCTTCTTCTCTTCCCTTTTTAGTCCTGTCATTCTCGAGAACTCCAACTTTTCCTCTCTTTCTTTCATCTGCAATTTTTAGAACACCAAACTGGTCTATAACTCAAGTGTTTCTTGAATAGATTTAAAATTTACAAAAACCATCACTGCTCCAAGGCTGAGACCAAGAGACAGAATCAGAAATCTAGGAATAGATGGAATGAATCAGTGAATACTCTTATGGCAAGAGCGAGAGTGTTTGTGTACAGTGTTTCCTCTACCTCCAGCTAAAACTAATGGAACCTCTAACTAATAAGTTTCACTAGCTTCAAAAGCATTCGCATGGAAAGCATCAAAATCCATCTTATGTGTTATAAACAGATAAGAAGCCAAAGGTTTAACAATAACAACAGCTAGCTAATCTAGAGATATCATGATGGTTACAGGATTTATAATCAAAACCTCCAATTCCATAGCCAAATAACTCCATTAATTCCAAATTACAAACCTTTCTCACAAATCATGCATACCCTTTTATTACATAAGACACCTAAATCATAACTAGCAAAGCCTCCCAAATCTTGAAGATAAGAACATCACTTACCATCATTTTATTTCAAGAACCATCTCACAGACAATATCAAAGATCCATCATAGTTTCTACTACACATTTTCTTGTACGGAAGAGGCCAAAGGTTTAACCAGAATAATATCATATATCATGATGGTTACATGATTCATGATCAAAACCTCAAATTCCATAGCCACACAACTCCATCAATTCCAAATTACAAACCTTTCTCACAAACCATGCATACCCTTTTATTAAATAAGACACCTAAATCATAACAAACAAAGACTCCCAAATCTTCAAGACAAGAACATCACTTACCATAATTTTATTACAAGAATCATCTCACAGACATGATATATCATATATCATGATGGTTACATGATTCATGATCAAAACCTCCAAAATCATAGCCACACAACTCCATTAATTCCAAATTACAAACCTTTCTCACAAAGCATACCCTTTTACTAAATAAGACACCTAAATCATAACTAACAAAGATTCCACAATCATCAAGACAAGAACATCACTTACCATCATTTTATTACAAAATTCATCTCAACAGACAAAGATCAAACCCATCATAGTTTCTACTACACGTAAGAGGCCAAAGGTTTAACCAGAACAACATCTAGCTAATGTAGAAACATCGTATATCATGATGGTTACATGATTCATGATCAAAACCTCTAATCCCATAACCCCATAATTTCTTTAATTCTAAATTACAAACCTTTCTCACAAACCATGCATACCCTTATATTACACCTAAATCATAACTAACAAAGATTCCACAATCTTCAAGAACCATTACTACACATAGTCTACACATTAAAAAAAAGAAATCAAACATACCAGTGTTCTCCTAAACTCCTCCTCAAACACCTTACGTTCCTCAGCTCTAACCTTAGCAACCTCAGCTTTCAACCTCTTCCTCTCCTCATTAACAGCCCTCTCAGCCACCAACCTAGCCTCATCCTTACGCTGCTTCTCCACCCTAAGCATCTCAATCTCATGAACGTAGTCTTTACGAAACAAACTCACTTTCTTCGCGTAATCCCTCCTCAGCTCCGCAAGCATCCTCTCCGCCTCTCTGGGATCTCTCGGAACTTCCCAGCTATTAATAAACCTCTCCGGCTCGAGGAAACTGTGCGTCTCCTTGTGGAACCTGTGGTGAGTAGCTTCCGAGGAGAAGGTCTTGAGATAGGAGGCGATGTTCTCACTACGGTGCCGAACGAGGCGGTTTAGTTTGTTGCAGAAACTCATCTACAGATTCCAATTCAAATTACACATTCAATTATTAGGGTTTCCACTAATAAGATTGAAATTGAGTAATGATTCGATAACGAAATGCAGAATACGAGAGAGGAAGCTTACATCTGAAGGAATGAAACGATTGATCGATGTCAAAGGAGAGTTTGAGGGAGAGAGAGTGGCACGGCGAGGTTTAGAAAATGGCGGTGGATAGAACTAAACGGCGGTGTGAGAGAGAGGGAAAATTTTGTAATTTTTTTTTGTTTTTTTTTTTTTTGAAGAAGAAAGGTTTTGGATTAAATTGGATAACTATAAGCCCAACTAATACTTTAGTTTGTTTATGTGAAGCCCATAATAAAAGCCCAAATTATACGTTGAGGAAAACATTTTATGATTATGTGAATTTTATTAATTAAAATGTTGCTTAAATAAAATTTGAGTGCTACTATGTTTCATAATCTAAGTTAGATTTTTTTTTTTTCTAAATATAAAAAAATCTGTCAGCAAATCCTGTGAAAGAGGAAATTTTTGTGCAGTTTTTAATCATTATATATTCAAGAATGGGTTATATTATTATCTATATTGAAATGGATACATAAACGGGAAACATATACATTTAAGATTTGAAGATCCTAATCATTTCAACATCATTGATCGTTTCCTCTTATGAATAATCTCCATCTTACCATGGATTGAAATTATCTCAGATGATGTTGAAGAATTGCACAAATTTCAGCAAGAAAACTTGTTTGCAGTTAGTTAAACACTCGATTGATTGTTTGACAAGTGAAATTAATAAGGTGTTTAATGTTTTAGTATCTGCAGTGTTAGTCATACTGGAAAACATTGATTTAATCAATGAAGCACCTAGAGCCGCCTCGATGTCCGTGGAAAATGCTGTTATGCTTGGTACAAACTGACCTTGGTAAACCATTTTTTCCTAAATCAATAGAGAGAGAGAGAAAACAGATCTGATTTGAGTATTGAATGTCTAAACAGGAGAAAACATATCCGTAAATATCAGATTGGAAAACATTGATTTATCGTATGCAATCTCATTCTTGAAGTTATTTTATAGAAAGAGTGTAATCAGCATTTTTCAAAAGTCAATCTTATTGATATGAGAAGATGTTTGTACTTGTAGAGACAGCTATTGGATCTGCATTCGTTAAAATGTTATTGAATGAAAAATGTGTAACACTGAAGTGAATTATCTATTACTCTACTTTCAATGTTTCTATTAACTTTTCAATTTTCTTTTATTATTATTATTATTTTGAAATAATCGCTATTCAGGAAAAAATGTTTTCATATTCAACACAATAAAAACAATTTTTTTTGTCTTGCTCGTAAATTAAAAACTATATGTAGTGTTTACTTTTTCATTGTGCATTTATACGAAATGGTTAAGATAAAGGTTTTTGATAAGTCTGAGAACACATCTGCAGCTCTTGAAGCAGTAGCTAAATTGATTGAGGGAACTCTACACAGATAAATTTTTGAAGGCTAATCGTGAAGCTGAAACCTTGTATGTGGCTTGGGAATATGGTAAGAAAAGTTGGTTTGTATTTGTTTGAGTTTCCATTACTGAGATTTTCTATTCATATGTTATGATAGTTAATATATTTTTATGTTCTTTTTTTAGGTCTAAGATAATTAAATTTTGTTTCTTGATATCTATGTTACAGAAAACATGATATTATATGACAAGGATGAATAATTGAACATATAATAGCGCAAGTACATCCCAAATTCTAATACATAATTGGAATCTAACCAAATTTGATTCAAACTCAACATTTGAAACCATTAATTATAGGCTTATAGCTTCAATCATCAGTACTCGATGAACACATTCAGACTCTTTTTTTTTTGCATGGAAAAAGTAATCACAATTTGAATAATGTTGGGGTAAAATGTTCTTATTACTTAAATAGCATAAACAACTACAAAAATATAAATGTAAAAGAGAGAAAACTCTGTTTCATAATATAAGTAATTTTAATTAAAAAAAATACTTAAGGTTCACAATATAAGTAGCTTTACCATTTTAATGCAATTTTCTATTAAATGAATACTGTGTGACCAATTAAATTATGTAAAAAAATTATATTTAGCTTAAGTTATGTATTAAATAATATTTTATAACAACTACCATTTTCTTATGTTTGTTTTGACTTTGAAACAAAGGGATTAGCAATTAGCATATACACCACCCAGAGGAAGGTTCAGTTATCCTCTTAGTGATTCAGAGTCTCTCTTTCGCTGATCACTAACCATTGCTATAAGCACAAGTTAAAAAGAGTGTGCAGCTGAGCTAGAGAAGTGGAATTCATCGTGCGTGTGTAAGCACGAGGCTGCTTACTCTAGGAGGAGTATCTATTCATTCTAGAAACATGTTTCTAATATCGAAAGGAGAGAAACAGACGTTACCTAGAGATGTTTTACTCTTTGAAGTTTCGTGATCTGGTTAGTATGCAACTCACTCTTACCCTTTCCATTTCGTGATCAAAATTTTGGTTTTGCAAATTGAAATTACGGGCCAACTCAATTCCGCTGGCAACGGATGAGCATTGAGCAAGTCATGGTTGGACTATTTGCTGCACTCTCTGTTGCTCTTGTGTTCATGTTATTATTGACTTAAATAAAGAAGCTATTATTGGCTTTTGTTTCCATGGGTGGCTTGGTTTTGAACTTGTTTTTGGAATGTTTTCTTGCTATCAATTTCAAATATGCTTGTCTGGTTGGTATCTAAGATCTGATAATATTTTACTATTTCTAGAGCTGAAACACACAAATAAAATAGGTCAACCTTAATATATTAGCGGTCCAAGAGCTGGAGCCCTAACTTGTCCTACAATCAAATCCCTAAAAACAGAAACTCCAATAATAGCTCTTTGTGTCTCCATTATATAAACTCCATGATCCAACAACTTTCATAACACACAAACTGTAAAAGAATAATAAAAAAACAGAGTTAGAAGGGGCTTAAGCCATCCTTAAAAGCCTCTCCTACTCTGTTTTTTTTCTTGTATTTTTACAGGTTCAGTAACATATTAACTTAAAAACAATTAATTTCTTGAAATTGTGAAAGAAAGAAAAAATGGGCTTCCATAGTGAAAACAAAAAGAAGAAATGCATCATCGCTGGGGTTATCTCGGGTTTGCTCGTTATCATGGTAGTCTCTGTGGCCGTCATAACGAACCGACAGGCGTCCCGTGATTGTACGAAACAAGCCGACGTGAATATTAAGATGACCAGCAAGGCAGTCCAAGCGATTTGTGAACCTACTGACTTCAAAGACACATGTGTCACCAGCTTCATGAAAGCTTCTCCTAACTCCACAGAGCCTCTTGACCTCATCAAGCTCAGCCTCCACATCACCATTCAATCCATCAAGGATGGCATCAAGAAATCCTCCCAGGAGCTCAAAGCCAAGGCTGATAATGACACCAAAGAGTCTCTGGAGTTGTGTGAGACGCTTATGAATGATGCTACCGATGATCTGAAGAAGTGTTTTGACAACTTTTCTGGCTTTTCCGTTGATAAGATTGAGAGCTTTGTCCAGGATCTTCGTGTCTGGCTCAGTGGGTCCATTTCGTACCAACAGACATGCATGGATGCTTTTGAGGAAATTAAGTCACACCTTACAGAAGACATGAAAAACATCTTCAAACCCTCCAAAGAACTCACCAGTAATAGTCTTGCAATGGTTACTAGTATGTCCAGCATTCTTGGAAAGTCCAACGTCACAGGTAGTTTCATATTATCACTTTTACATTTGAATTAGGTGTGCATGGCCGGTTATGGGCACAACAGGATGAAACATTAGTTTTGGTTTTTAAATTTTAAAGAGAATATTACACATAGATCGCATAACTCTCAAATTGTCGAAATTATTTAGGTATTAAGATTAACCAAAAAAATATAGTTATTAGCAAAGCTGTGTGAATTTTAAGGATACTAACATTTTGGGTAACAGAAGCAACCGGAGACTACGCCAGAAAGCTTTTGTCAGCTGAAGACGCTACCCCAAGCTGGGTAGGACCAGACACTCGAAGACTCATGGCAGCACCACATGGAGGTGTGAAACCTAATGTGGTGGTGGCCAAGGACGGAAGTGGTCAGTACAAAAGTATAAACGAGGCCTTGAAAGCTGTGCCTATAAACAACAAAGTGCCATTCGTTATCTACATCAAGCAAGGTGTCTACAAGGAGAAAGTCATTGTTGCAAAAAATATGTTTCACGTCACTTTCATCGGAGATGGACCCACCAAAACTAAGATCACCGGTAATCTCAACTTTGCTATCGGCAAGGTCAAGACCTACGTGACAGCCAGTCTCTGTGAGTCCAATTCTTAACCCTAACTTCCACATATACTAACATAGTAAAAAACAAAGTGACCAAACATGTAACATATATAATGGCAGGGCCTAATTGTTTTAAAAAATTAAGGTACCTATAGTCTATGTATTTTAATTCTTAAACCCCGCAAAATCAATTTTTGAATTCTTGATGCTCATGATCGACTCTGAATAATGGTTTGTGATAGTGTGTGTCCTTATGTCACTATTCAGGTTAGAACATGTAACATAGGGTCCCAACTTTTTTGAAAAAAATTACATATGCATAGGTTCAAAAAAATTTTAGACTCCCAAATTCGTAAAAGAAAAATTTAGATGAAATCGTTAAAAATAGCCTTAGACTCTTTAATTCTTAACATTCATACCATATTTTTTTGTAGCGGTCGAGGGTGATAATTTCGTCGCCAAGAACATCGGTATTGAGAACACAGCCGGTCCACCAGGAGGACAAGCTGTAGCCCTAAGAGTCTCCGCGGACTGTGTTGTTATCTTCAACTGTCAAATCGATGGTTACCAAGACACACTCTACGTCCATTCCCATCGCCAATTCTACGTCGACTCCACCATCTCAGGCACAGTGGACTTCATCTTCGGCGACTCAAACACCGTCATACAAAACTGCAACATCGTGGTTAGGAAACCCATGGGAGGCCAAGGTTGCATGATCACTGCTCAAGGACGTACCGACAAGCGTGAACCCACCGCTATCGTGCTCCACAACTGCCGCATCATCGGAGAACCGGCGTATCTTCCGGTGAAACACATTAACAAAGCATATCTTGGAAGGCCATGGAAGGAGTTTGCAAGGACCATAGTGATGAGAACGACCATAAGCGATGTTATTGATCCAGCGGGTTGGTCTCTATGGAGTGGTGATTTTGCGCTGAAAACGCTTTACTATGCTGAGTATGAGAACAGTGGGCCTGGGTCAAACAAAGCCCAACGTGTTAAGTGGCCTGGTATTCAGAGGATTACTCGTCCTCAGGCTCTTGGATGGGCACCGGGGAGATATTTAAGTGGTGGCTCGTGGATTCCACAAACTGGTGTGCCTTATTTGCCCAACCTGCAATAGATTTCACAATTCATTGAATTTTTTTCATTCTTTTTTATTTTCAAATTTTAAATTGTTTTTGGAAGGTGAATATTCATTTAATTATAATTAATTTTTTTTCTTTCAAATATCTTCAAACTAATCATCGTACTATAAAATCAATTCGTTAATCAATAACCTATGGATACCATTTTGATGAACGCCAAATATAAAGTACTTTATACATACACATATATTCAAGAACACATAAAGTACTGGAGTTGTTATACACACGCTTGTCGCGTGAACTCTTTCTCACCCTCTTGTCCAGTCTGTGTTATCTATGCTCAAAATGTTTTAAACCAGAATTCAATATGTAAATGTTTTTTTATAAACAATTGTAAATATTAAGGATCTTTATAATATGTAGTACTGTTTTTCGAAAATGAAAATTTCTTGTAACTCGTATTAAATAACTCCTAGTTGGGGTGAAATCTTGATAAGAAAAAGTCATATGCTGTTTGTGAGTATTAAATGCAGCAGAACAATGAATGATAAGAAGGGACCAGGAGAATTCCTTGGTACTATTAAATGTTGAATGGGTCTTGAGATACACAAAAGTGTAACTGCATATTGTATAAAAATAATAAAATAAATTTGATCCAAAAAAATAATAATAAAATAAATTTCAAAATATATAAATGATCATGTAATAAGAATATAGTCGAATACTACAAAACACTAGTTTTTTTTTTCTTTTTTTTTGGACAAACTACAAAAGACTAGTTTAGTTTATGTAAAGTTGGAGAAAGTAACTAGGGATGTAATAATAACCAAATAAGAAGGTAGAAAGAGACAAGATAGTGAAAGAGCATTGAACCAAAGCTAAAAAGCTCTGTTTCTCTCTCTCTCTCTCGAACACACCTAAACACATGTCGTCGAACACTTCCCCGATCTTCAGCGACTATGGCTTCGATCCCCAAATCGACTACTTCCAGGTTCCTCTTCCTCCTTTTCTTTTCTCTGGTTTCATTTCAAGACTCCTTTTGAAAACTTGTTGGGTATATTCTAAAGGTTTTGGAAGAAGCGAGAAAGCACAAGAAAGAAACATCAACCATCGACAGTATTCATCAATTCAAGCTCCAAAAACCTATCTCCAAGGACGAACTGATACGTACCGCTCTCCACAAGAAGAACAAGAAACATCGTTGGTTCTTGAAAAACCCTTTGCTCTTCTTCAACTGGCGTAAATGGCGAAGACGCGACGTTGAGGGAGACATCAATGAGTTTAACGATCGTGACGTTCACATGGCGAGGGCTAGGAATTTTCGGGCTGCTTCGATGTCTGGTCCGGTTTACGTGACGGAGAGCTTGACCGGTTCGAGCACGCCGTACCGAGAGATAAGACCTCCTTCGTTGACAACGGTGACGCCGGTGGTTCCGTATCTGAGTCTACGGGAGCTTAACATGGAGAGGCAGCAGAGAATCAGTGCCTCTTCTATGTCTGGTCCTCTTTACTTGGTCACGTGATAATAAACATCTATTTTCAGAGTATTATCATAAGGAAAATATGATCACGGCGAGGGAAGAAGAATAAATATTTTAATCTATACTATTATTTAGGATTTAAATTTGCTTATTTGTCAAATTTTATATGATTTTAGGCTGAGTCATCAGTTTTAATGAATAATTTTAATTAGACTAATTGAGTTTTTGATATTTTTTTTTACTGAATAATGATATAATTCATTATTTAACTGATTATAAATCCACATTATAAAAATTATTTCAAAAAATAACTGGAAAATGTGTTTAGAAAAAGGAAAGATAATTCTATGTATTTATCTTGTGTTTATATCAACATATTTTTTTATTTGTTTTAGTTATAATCATTAAAGTTTGAAAATTAAAAGACCATTTTTTATGATAAATAAATATTATTTTATAGGAGAATAGCAATTTGTGTTTTAAAGGAAAAAAATAGATTAATGATATTTTTTTTATTATTATATCATTTAAAATGAAAATAATAATGGATAGAAAAATGTTCTTATCTTATATATTACATACTAATGTTTTGTTTGTCTATATGTTTAGTCTGTTTGTGTAATATTCTTCTCAGTTATTATTGGAGGTATTTCACAATATAACATACATATATCAATAATTTTTTTTAGTTTGATTAATATAATACGGAAAGTTGGGTTTGTTATAACCTTCTTGTATTTTTTATTTATTTTGAGATTTTGTAGGTTTTGGTAGTTTTAAGAATTTAGTTTAATAACATCACTTTATACCAACAATTATATACTTGTTTATTTAATTAGATAACTGTTTATAGCCTAATATAATAAAAACTGGATAAGATAACAACATATTCAAAAATTAAAAATATTAATGTTGTTATCCAAAAATAATACTATATAAGATAATGTGAAATATATACAATTTATTTTGATCACCAATAACTTTTAATACTATGTAATTACATATATCGAACAAAATTAAATTTTATTTAAAAATAGATTTTATCATTTTATATATGAAATAAACTAAAAAGAGGGAATATCAAATATTTTGCTAAATTGTTGCCCTTACTCTTACCAATTGTACAATATGTCAACAATGAAGGCAGTCCTTTATTAATAATAGGAGATGACAATCGTCTAAAGCCTTTCTATATTATTTCAGTACTTTTGCACATATGCTTTTACATAGAAAACATAAGCAAAATATAAGAAAAATATATTCTTTCACATAGAAAACATAAGCAAAATATGAGAATTATTCCTTATAGTTATTACAATCTTTTAATACTTTCATTTACACACGGTGGTTAGTTAGTAGTAATGCTAATATTGTGTTTGTTTGTGAGCATATTCGATTCCATTGTAAACTAGGATCTTTTTAACTTCACAAGTCACTAGCTTTGCAGCCCCTCTCTGCTGGTATATGATGAACTTTTGAAGAGATGTGTCCTATATCTTCTTAAAAGAGCTCCAAGTGTGCTAAGGATTCAAGGAAAATGAGAGGGTTCGCAATCTTAAAAGAATATGGAAAACATAAACATAATCTAATAGAAAATTTTCTTTTCTAGTTTCTAATTTTTTTTATTGTGTTTATCTCTTAACATATTAAATATCTAAATATGTTAAGTTCCAAAAGTTTTGAATGATCTTACATTCAACCATTTATTTCCAATTTGAATTAGGGAGATCAGTTTCTTGAACTCCAATTAAACTCCTCATTTGCTTGAACTTAATCATCAAGTAATCATATCCTTCATTACACTATGGTATGTAAACCCATCCATTGGAGTCGCAGCTTTCTCAAGCTACTGGGATTTAGTATATTACTATTTAGTTTGTTTGATTTAATAATAATTTTTATGAACAAAATTGAAATTTAATATTTTTAAATGAATATTTGGTTCGGATTATAGATTTGGAAAAGGAAACTAATCATAAGATATTAACACCATTACTAATTGGGTTGACATCAACTAACCATCACAACTATTCACACTAGTGTTTTAAAACCCGACTCGTACCTAGGGTTTAACCATTAAACCCGGTTACTAAGAAACCGGTTTAGATTTTGTGAAAAACCCACTAAAACACAAACGCAACATTGGTTGAACCACCGGTTGAACCAACCGATAACTTTTTTTAGTTTTAATTATGTTTTATATTCTAAATTTTGAGTTAAGAAGTTATGTGTTCACTTTTAGTTTTGTATTTGTGTTACAAGGACAAACAGTCTTGCATGTGGTATTAAGTAGCAATCATCTTATGTTGTTCAAATGGATGTAGAGTTAAGTTTTTGGTTTGCTGAATCTTAAATGAGTTTGTTTGTGTTGATGTCAAAAAAAAAGTTTTATATTTGTGATTTTTCTTTTATTTTGATAAAGATTTCAGTTTGCCACCATAAAGAAAATAAAGTGAATGAAGGTAGAAAGAAACAAAATTAGTTCATATGATCTGGAGTTTATTTTTTTATTGACAATTTATTACAATGATGTTCTACTTTAGTTTATTCTGGATTTCAAGTTTACTTTATTATTTACATTTGACATTTACATACTTTTGAATTTTATGTCTTGATATTTTAGATATCTCCTGATTAGATGATCTTGCACATACGATAGATAACAAGCGATTAAGCAAATAGGAGTGTGTGGGTTTCGTTTTAATCATTTGGCTTGTAATATTTGTTTTTGTTCTTCGAAAACACTTTTCTGGTTTAGACACGAATAAAGGCAAGTTTTGGTGTTTGAATTCATCTTAAGTTTAAACACTAAAAAATATCTAAAACCTAACTACATAGACTTGCATGCTTAGTGATATTTAGAAGAGGATTATGCAATTTTCCATTATCATGGTTGCTGATAACATTAGTTTGTCCATAGTTGTTTTGCAGTTGGCCTTCCATAGTCCACATGGTCACCACCCTAACCTTAAACTTAAACTAACGTTTAACCCTCGAGCTCCTTAACGCAATCACTGATTCCCTTAACATCGTCACCATCACCATTACATTTTCCTATAGCTGATAAAACAAATAAAAAGTGAAAACCCTAACAAAATAAAATCTTAAACTGCCATGAGAGATGAGTTTCCGAGCAACTACAAAGTGTCATAGCATGTTCAAAATACCTATAGAAAGCTCTTGCTACAGGGAATCCATCGAAACTTACAGCATATAAATTGGAGTTAAACTCCATCGAGGAAATCATTTTGTAAGTTGATCCAAAATCATACGAATTTGCAGAAACTTAGAAAAGCTGTAATGTTGCAGCAACTTTGGGATGGGAAATAGAGGGAATATCAAATAAGAAAGAAGCGTAACAACAAAAGCATGAAAAAAGCAATGTTTGGTTTTGTGATGAGAACTGCTTACAAAATAATGAGATGTTAGAATATACTTAAAAGCCATGATGACAGAGCCTATATATGGTTTTATTGATTATGCATCTATTTTGCACCTTTCATGAGATTCTTTATCCTAATTACTTGAGTGTACGTGATCATGATGGCTCTGATTCATCAACTTTCAGCCTTTCTCTAGCTCAAACGGAACAATGTTAATCTCTGGCAACTCCTTCTTCTGCTTGGCTGAAGTTTCGCCGACTTGTCTATTCCACATACTCTCCGGGAAACAATGAGTGATTGTTCTTGTTGAAACATTTTCATTTAACAATTTAGCATTGTCCTGAACCAGAAGAGAGACATATCTTGTTTATGTTTGGACACAAATGACTGTAATTAAGAAACACACAAGAAAGATTAGTCTTTAATTACCACTGGTGGTTTCTGCGGATTCATGTGACCACTATGTTGGCTTCTTCTCTCGTGTACGAGAAGAAATGCGCATTTGCAAGTGAAGAAAAGAAGCACAGTAGAAAGAGAGAATACCACAAGAGACTCCACCACTATCACAGATCCTAGAACTGCCACCAAGTCACAAAAAGGTATTTTAAACCAAACCAAATCAAAACAACTCCAAAGTCTTTTCATACACGTACCGTGAGCTGCAAGGGAACTTAAGGGTCTCTTTCTAATAAGGTTCACACGAGCCACCGCGTGTAAAGGCAGTGAAATTCTCTCAGTGCAATCAAGAAAACACCCGTAATTCCCCATGTCACTCATTTTCAAGGTCAAGATAGCACCGTTCTCTCCTCCCTACACGATATTTTGCAATAAAGATATCAAGAAACCAAAAAACATTCAAAAAAAAAAAAGATATATGATTGGCATTACATGATGGCGCAGATATTGCATCATGTCGTTGCATTGCTTTATTGTTCCACGAAACCTGATCCCACTGGCTTTAACATTCACGTGTTTAGAAATGGCAGCGTATGTCTGAATTGGCTGCCACCTGAATAAGTTTTTGAACTTTAGCTCTGTTGAGTTTATAAGCTCGGACGGTAAGTTTGTCAGCAGAAACCCATCAGTAACCTCCACAGAAAACGTTACTAAGAAATGAGCTTCACCACCTGATATACATTTCACCAGTCAAATAAAAACATGGGCAAATATACTAATTAGCATTTTTTAGCTTCTTGTCACAAAATAACATTCAAATAGAATTCCTAAAAAAGCATTTATTAATCAATAAAAACACTAAATGATCTTATATACTGATCTTACCCGCTAAATACTAAACCTTATAGACTCTAATCGCTAAACTCTAAAGTCAAATATAAATATATATTTATTTTTACATTTTTACTCCAAACCCTAAGCCATTCTGAGAATTCTCCTCTTTTGTGTGCTATTTTTTGAGCAAAATAATAATAATTTAGTGCTATTTAAGATTGTTGTTAATTAATGTGATCAAGAGTGAAGTAATTATTGTTAACATTACCAGGGAAACTAGCAAGATCTGGATCTCCAACTGAGAAGTTCAACTTGTCTCTTTCCTTGTGAAAGATAAGTGACTCTGTCCCATTACTCTCGAGCATTAAATAGTTAGGAACATTAATAAACGGTGGAGTATTGACAGGTTCAACGAAGACAGGAACATCCAGTTG